GATTTAATCAGGCGAGACAAACGTCGCTGGGAGAAAGCAGATATCAACCATGACGACCAGTTAACTAAAGAGGAATATACTGCATTCTTGCACCCAGAAGAGTATGAATACATGAAAGATGTGGTCGTAGAAGAGACCATGGAAGATATTGATAAAGACAAAGATGGATACATCTCATTAGAAGAATACCTTGGTAAGTGTGTTGTGCAGTTAAACTTATATTCTGTGAAAATAAAATTACGAAAGATGAGTAAATCATCTTCAAGGCCAGTTAGACTAGATGACTAGTTAACTCTATTTGTTCTTTTAAAAATAGATGAAAAAGAATAATGAGAAATATTGAATATAAAGAGGAATCTACATACTTAATGGCAGATCCAGAACAAATTTCAGGGGGGAGATCACAACAATTACCTAGAGAGGTATTACATAGCCTCCTTTTAAGTTTTTTGCTATCCTTTGAATTATTCTCATTTTTCTTTCAATTTCGAAAGGGTTTGGCAAATTTGAAAACCAGCAATCTATCTATTGGCATGGCATATGGAACAATTTTTGTCAACTTATTGAACAATCATTGGTTGATGGATGGCAATATGATATGCTCTATTTTTTTAGGAGATTTGTACCCAGACAGTGAAAAGAAAGAAGACACTGAAGAACCAGACTGGGTACGAACAGAACGAAAACAGTTTGATGAAGTTCGGGACAAAAACAAGGATGGACGAATGGATAAGGTAGCTCTACAATACCTTTTCATTCTGTAAAATTTTCCTCCACTTTTATGTGTGTGTTTGTTGTTTCTTTCATGTGTAGAAAAAGATTAGAAGCTAAAATAAGTTAAATTTCTTTTACAGGATGAAGTGCGTGATTGGATTATTCCACCTGATTTCGACCATGTCAGTGCAGAGGCAACACACTTAATTAACGAAGCTGATGATGATAAGGTAATTAACATGGTTTTATGAGCATTGCTCCTTAATGCTAGATAGGGGATATATATAATTATGCTTATGAGGATACGAAAGAATGAATGAGAATATAATTAGTTACAAATGAAATTGCTGTAAAACTGGTAACCATGGAAACAACAGATATGCAGGTTATGAGCCACCTTAAGAATCAGTGAACATTGTGACCTTATTAAAAATATGAACCCATGAAAAGTTTCTATGGTAATGGTTGTGATAACAAGTAATGAGCCACCTTAAGTATATCCTTCCAGGTTTGAAATTGATAATTTTGGTAATCACAGAAACGAAATTCTTTGGTGTTGCACAACCAAACATAAGATCAATACTTTTGTTTTATCTCATAGGATGGATTGCTTTCGAAATCTGAAATAATTGACCATCACGATGTGTTCGTTGGTAGCCAAGCGACAGACTTTGGTGAGGCACTCACAAAAAATCATGATGAGTTTTAGATTAGACGACTATCTAAGAATTACTAAGAATTAATAGAGCTGGGTGTCAACCTATTGCACCACACTAGCTGCGCAATACATCTAACATAATAAAGAGGTTTATATAGGTTTTCAATTTTGCTTCAG